TCGCAGGCGATTGGTTGCAGGCCTTTGCCAAAGTCCTGTAACAGTACCGCGCCAACGACGATCTCACTGGCGTCCGTAACCACTTCATAGGGGCGGTCGGGGTCGGCGATACGAAGAACAGGTGGTGTCATGAGGAAAGTTTTCAGTTGGTCAAATGCAGCTTGCTGCCTCTCCCCCCACTCATAAAAAACTCCCATCTGCAGCAAGTCGATTAACGGGGCTGTTCAATCCGCCAGTTGACGAACCCCATAAAACTTTGCAACTCATTGATGTTCATAGGCGACTCCTAGTTGCAAATAATGTCGATTTTTTTCGGGTCGATTTTAACGCCGTCGGTGGAGATGACGTGGCCTAGAAATTCCAGCTCCTCTTTTAAGTACTCGCACTTAGAGCCCTTGGTGATTAGTCCATGTTGATCGCAGAGGGCAAAAACTGCTTCCAGGTCCTTCAAATGTTGTTCCCGAGATTTGCTGTACACCACGATGTCATCCAGGTAGACGATGACGCACTTGTCCAATAGCGAGCGGAAGACTTCGTGCATTGTCAGTTGAAAAGTTGAGGGTGCGTTTGTCAAACCAAACGGCATCACTGTATACTCGTAACTTCCGTAACGGGTTCGAAAAGTAGTCTTCTGAATATCAGCATCGGCAACACGAATCTGGTGGTAACCTCTGCGTAGATCAATCTTGGAAAAAATCCAGGCCCCGCGAAGTTGGTTGATGAGATCGTCGGCTCGCGGAATCGGGTAACGCGGCTTGATGGTGATGTTGTTGAGTGCTCAATAATCGGTACACATCCGAAGTCCTCCGTCCTTTTTGGGGGTGAAGAGAATCGGCGCGACGAAGGGTGACGTGGATGGGCGGATGATTTTTTTCTCCAGCAGGTAATCCAGTTGCTTACGCAGCTCCATCAGCTATGGTTGAGTCAGCCTCCATTGCGATCGGATGGCTGCTTGCGCTCTAGGTTCCAGCTCAATCTTGTGATTGTGCAGTCGTTCGGGTGGTAGGCCGGGCAGTACGTCATCAGGGAAAATCTTCTCATACTTACGCATGATCTTCACCAGGTCCTCAAATACAGCAACGCATAACTTCTCCAGGTCAGTCTCTTCAACCACCTCCGTTGATGCGATTCATCAGGAGGCATAGGCGACCACTCCACGTGCCATCACCCACTTGATAGTCATGTTGTTCACCAGTGTTGACTGAGGGTCGGGTGGTTTCCACTTCGGCAGTTATCGCCACTCGCCACCCCACTTCAAACGAATGTCGCCATTCTTCCAATCGATGCTCGGATTGTTCGTGTGAAGCCAGTTGCGCCCCAGAAGCACATCGCAACCATCCAACGTTTTTGCCTGCATCTTCACGACGAAGCTGACTTGGCTGTCGCAAACAATGCGAACTTGTTCCACCCACTCCCAAATTGCACGTGGCGTGTCATCGACCAACCTCGCGTCAATCTCGGGCATTCACCTCTCCATTTGCAGTTGCAGCTTCTTCGCCCTTGTCACATCCAACAGACTGTATGATGCTCCACCGTCCACAAATATCTGGTATTGCGAACGTGATCTTCTACCAGCACAGGGCAGTCAACAGGTGTGGTGATCTTCGGGCGACGAAGCCTCATCAGTAGGGGGCCCAACTGCTACTGATGCTGTCCATTTCCCAACTTCCTTCCGTCGTTAGCTCCCGATTTCTGCAACTCCGGACAGTCCCGCATGATGTGCCCCGGCTGGCCACATTTATAAGACCTGCCAGAAAATATGTTATCTGACGGTGCGGCCACGCCGTTGATGGATGGGTAACTAATCTGCCCTCGAAAATGCCTTCCCTCACGGAAATTCGTCCTCGGCCATACACTGCTCTCGTCCCATGCCTCTGCGGTCTGCTGCACCTCCAAGAACGTCGCCGGGCGGCGCATGCGAATTTCGCGCCGGACCTCCGGTTTCAGCCCTAGAATGTATAGACTCGTTTTCTCCGTCTCATGTAGACCGTCGATTTCGTCACAGATGACGAGGAATGATGACGTCTATTCTAGGACAGAGCCTAGTTGACGCCACTTGTGCAACTTCACACAAGCGTTTTCGCTTGCGAATAGAGTGACGGAAACAATTGTCCGAATGTTTTGCATCAACTAGGGTTTTTGGGCCTTTTGACCACGGTACATAAAGTCTTAATGTTTATTGGTCATACACTTTGGGAGGGGCATATAGTTGATGTGTTCACAATGCTAAAATCCATAATAGTACACTGGTTCTAAATAAGTACCAAAAGATATCCAAAGAGTACTTCCGGACAATTGTTTTCCAGGACAAAGAGCAAACTTCCGAATAGCGTTTCTAGTACCTAGTCTACCGACCCTTGGCCTTGATCACCACCTGCACCCTCCTATGCATGTTATCTACGAGAAGAATGCTTGAGATGAGGTCTAGTGAGAAAAAAGGGTCACTCTAGGGCAACATACTCATGCTCTCCAGGGCAACAAGCACTAGAGTGACCCTCTTCCTCACCAGATCTCAACCCATATATTCTTTCCCACCAGTCGGGGCTTCTTGGACTGCTGCACCGTGACAAGACCCATGGATTTTAACGTGATTCTTATAGTGAAAGGGTGCACAGTCGACCGTGCTATGTTACCCTAGCTTTTGCCGCGGATACGCTAGTTTTCGCCACCGTGCTCGTAATTTTACAAAAAAAACTATACAACGAAGACGACCTATGAAAAGACGGGACCAATCGGCTAATGGCATCTTTGGTCACACATCAGCATGGCTAATCTAAGAGATCACATTCGATTAGAAATCGTGCACAATACTCTTGCATACAGTAAAATCCTTCGCGATTTTCATAGTGCTCACCCCCTTATGCATAAGGGTGGGTCCAAGCAGAGTACAAGAAGATCCTTGCAAAGGTTTGCATTAACCTCATAGATAACATGCCTAGGAGGGTGCGGGTGGTGATCAAGGCCAAGGGTCGGTGAACTAGAAACTAGAAACGCTGCTCGGAAGTTTGCTCTTTGTCTTGGGAAACAATTGTCCGGATGTACTCCTTGTTTATCTTTTGGCACTAAGTTAGATCCACTGTACTATTATGGATTTTAGAACTGTGAACACATCCACTATGTGCCCCTCCCAAAGCGTATCACCATTAAACATTAATGTAAAACACAGTGGTAAGAAAGCCCAAAAACCCTAGTTAATGTAAAACACCCGGACAATTGTTTCCGTCACTGTACATGCTCGAAGCGTCGGCGAAGCAGTGCACCCCACTGTTGCCAGGTAAGGATCCCGGCCACACCAAATAAGGATCCTGAGGAAGTTGAAGTCAATCGTTCCTCCCTGTCCATCGTGTGTTGCCGGTTTGCCGGAGTCCCTCGTAACGTTACGTACTGTCGCGATTAGCATAGTGTAGGTCCGCGTAATAAAGACACCGCCAACTTGACGCGTCTCTCATCGTCGTTGACGTCGGCGGCATTTAAGAACTGTTCCATGGCGAACAGCCACCCACTTAGCGTGGTGTGTTTCTCCAGGCGGTTGAACGACGGGGGCATGGCAGGGTTTATCTTCACAATTGCTAGTCGCTTGCTCGAACCGACGCCACGTGTTCCTGACGTCGCCTACGGTTGATGCACGCTCGCACGGTCTTCGCCTACGGTAACAGGCGACTCCTGACACGTCGCACCACGCGTCTGTCGAAGGCTTACATTCTCCACTTTCAACGCAGCGAGCTCGAGGGCCATGGCCTCCATCTTCGCCATCATCTCGCCAACCTTCGTCGGCAGCACGGATGCCCTTGCTGCCGCCTCTGACAACTCAGCTATTTGCTCGGGAGTCATATTTCTAGTACTACGACGAGGAGGGCTATTGACAATGAATTACCCTAACTAGCTAACGCCACTAAGGACACTACGAGCACCTGCAACGTTCAAGACGTGGAGCGCACGACAAAGTCAGCGAAACTGAAGAATTTCCTGCACGACCGCTGGACAGCTCCTGTCTCCTAACGTGCGAGGTCCCTCTAAAAAATACCTCACTACGGAAGCCTAAATGGGCAGGAACGTAGCTCTGATACCAGCTGTTATGATAATCTCCGGATAGGAGTCGAGTAATGCAATAGTGAGGCTGTGATTCAAGTGTGTCGAGTACAAATGAAGTACATGGCTAAATACAAGCACAGCTAGTCTTGCAAGAGAGCCCCGAGGAAGGCCACGAAACACACGCGATGTGGTTTGGGGCGCCTCGGGATTCGGAAGTGTTGGATGCGACGCCACATATAGGCTTGGTTTCGGGCCGAGCCTGGAATTCCGAAATTCAGGGCTGTACTCGATGTTAGCGAGGCTCGATAAGGAAAAGGGATTTTCCTTGCATGTTCTCTATATACGCTGACCAGAGTAAGATACAGTAATAGCTTTGATGTTTTCAGTCTTTTTTTAATTTCGAGGTGAGCTGTATCTCACAGTATACGCTACATCAGAAGCTTTATAAAGAGGGAACACGCCGTTGCATCTGGCCCACATGTTTGGATCTGTGCGAATGAACGACCAATCTCGGAATCGCACAGCTCACCTTCCAAAGCCACGTGTCCATGAGAGGGGTTGGTTTTGGAGGAATCATGCTTGCTGGGGCACAACAAGACCAGCAAGCGACGGTCGGCTTTGGCTCCCCCGCAGACTAGCGCGAAGTCTTGCGCGGCTGGGGCTCGGGGCTGGCGCGGTTTTGGCGCACCAACTAAGACCTTGCGCGCAGGTTTATGTTCAGGTTGGTGAGCTGGTGGGCAAATAGTTCTCGACTTACTGCAAACCGGTCGTGTTCACCTACAGTCTCGAACGGGCTATAGTTCGTTTTGTACAGTGCACTCAACTCCTTGTCTAGGTAGTAGTGGTACAATAGAGCGGAAAAACGGCAATAATTCGGTTGAAATTCGGCTGAACACGCCCTCAGAGCTCACCGCTAATCGCGGATCATCGTCCCCCCGAACCCTTCCATCCATCGTCATTTGGTAGTGATCACTTATCAATTGTCATCGCATCAGTCAGTGAAGCTCCATCTAAATACGTTCGGTTATTCCAGGTAATGGGAGGACTGGAGCAGAATCGCCAGCCTGGAGAGGAATCAGCAATACCGGCGTTCGTGGGTATGGGAGAGCAGCGTGGTTGCTTAGCCGTCTCCCTGACCCGATCTTCTCAGGTCTAGCCACAGGATCGAGGCCAGTAAGGCGGTTTCGCACGAAATCGGATTGGACGCTCGCCACGAAAATAGCAGGTGGTTCGCGATTGAACCGATCCGAGCTGCGAGGATCGCACTAGTTTTCTAGTTTTCCTGTGGTATCATAATTTTGCGCTGACTCTCTACTCCCGACTCTCGACTCTTGACTCTTGACTCTCGACTCTCGACTCTCGACTCTCGACTCTCGACTCTCGACTCTCGACTCTCGACTCCCGACTCTCAAATCTCAGCTCTCGACTCTCGACCCCCGACTCCCGACTCTCGACTCTCGACTCTCGTCTCCCGACTCTCGACTTTCGACTCTCAACTCCCGACTCTCGACTCTCGACTCTCGACTGCCGATTTTCCTTGAAGGTCGGCGACTGCCTCATGGCGTCGAACAGCAGAAAGAGTCTTGAGGTGCGTTTGCGACCGTGCAATGCTTGCGATAGAAAATGTCTGGGGCCATACTAGTCAAAATCGCGTCTGTTTCTGAGGCGCCTAAAAATAGGCCATACTAGTCAAAACCGCGTCCGTTTCTGGACAAAATGTCTGTTGCCGCTATAGAGAATGTGGTTGATCGTTCGTCACCTCTGCATCTCGGACAGGATATTTCTGAAAGGTTCGGCATAGCGACTGATCAGGGTTAGAGATCGCCGCAGTTTGTGCGGAGCTCATCGTCTGAACGGCCCCAGTATCGTCGGATCCGACGTGCGTCGCCTGACAGTTGAAAGTAAGGAATCACGTTTGGGAACGCGATTGGGGGTGCGGTTAGAAGTTGATGCGAGGTTAATAGCTGGTAATGCCACTCTTGGGGAACGTTGGATCCCTAGAGACCAAGTGATTGGAAAGTACAAGAATCGGGTTCTGCTTGGAGAGCCAATCGACTCGCGCGTCGTTTCTGCGTGCTGGAGGCGGAGTGTATCTGCGAGGGTAACATAGCGGCTGGTAACTGTGGGAGTTACGGTCGCTGTGCGCGTCGCAAGGACTGCGTTCGCGAGCAGAATGGCGACCGTCGCGAATGTAGCACTTCTCTGTCCTCCATCGTACGCGTCGTTTTGCGACTGAATTATGCCCTCGCTCGGTGCTGCTTGCGTTCGCGCGTATTAGCATCCGACATTCTCCACGTGTCGTTATGCATGTTTGTTTAGACATTTCTCAACACACGCACGCCGCATCCGACATTCCCAATTATGATTTAATCGCCTCTGTTCTGTTCTCTCTGCCCGATCCCTCCCACTCTCCGCTTCACATGCTGGCCTCTGCGCTGGGAATCCACTGCCACGTGTCACGCCACGTGGCAGTTGGTGGACATCTCGCACCACGAATCGGACGACGACCATGAGGAGCACTCGCTGCTCAGCGACAGGTGGGTGGCTGCGAGTGAGTGATGGGAGGCTTGAGGGGAGAGAGGGGAGGAGCCTGCTCTTGAATGGACTCACTAGAGGAGCACTCGCTGCTCAGCGACAACAGGAGGGTGACTGGGTTCAGGGAAGGGGGGGAGGGGGGAAGGGAGTGGGGGGACGGTCGGAGGGAGGGAGGGGGGGGAAGTTTTCGCTTTTCTCAAAAGAAGAGCACTTGCTGCTTTGCAACAGGTGGGAGGTGGGGATTGGGTAAACAAAGGGGCCGGGGGAAGAGGGAGGGGAGGGGTGGGGATGGAAGGGAATGGGGGAGGAGAGGAGGGGGAAGAGTGGGAGGGGGAGGGGGGATTCGAGTGGATGAGGCTGGTAAGGGGGATAGGGGAGAAAGAGAGGGGTCGAGGGGAAATGTGCGGGAGGGGGGGGGTTGGGGGGTTGGTTAGGGGATGGGGGGGGGGGGGGGGGAGTAAAGATAGTTCGACGAAGCGGAGCTTTGCGAGGAGGGGATGCGGGGAAAAAACCATGGTAGACGGATTTTGCCATTGTGAAGACGAATTTTTTCCCCACCCCGCCGTTTCGCCGCCTTTTGCGAAGGGGAGGCGAAGGAGGGTAAGTGGGGGGGAGAAGAGGGAGAAAAAAGGGAGGGTGGGGGGAGGAAAGCGGGGGCAGATAGATCCAATCCATGGTTCTGAGGTGCCTCAAAAGTTGCCCAAAGGCGCGGTGGCGTCATGGGAGTACTGGCGTGGCGGAAGAGCCTTGTTTCTCTGTTCTTGGAGGTTGGGGGCGGCTTTCCCGTCAACTCAAGAGCCTCTGCCCTGCTTTCCCCTCCCGACCCCTCTCTCTCTCCCAGCAAGCCGCGTGACTCCGACTCGGACGATGGGGTGGGGAAGATCCGTCTGCCAAAGGGCGCGGTGACAGCGTCGTGGGTGGGAGGAGCACTGGAAGAAGAGAGCCCATTGGCGCTCTTCCTGGGGCGACTTGTATTGTGATTAGCTGACTTTTGAGTCGACTCAAAGTTGACTTGTATTGTATTGTGATGTGACTTCTGGATTCAATCAAAACCCCTCCCCCCGTCTCTCCTCTCTCAACCCCACCCCTCTCCCAGCAAGCCGCGTGACTCCGACTCGGACGATGGGGTGGGGAGGATCCGTCTGCCCAAGGGCGCGGTGGCAGCGTCGTGGGAGGAGTACTGGAGAAAGAGCTTAGTGGCGCTCTTCCTGGGGTGCTCCCTGAACGTGCTGCTCGTGTTCATCCCGCTCTCCATGCTCGCTGTCAGCCTCAAGTGGCCGCAGGTGAGAGAGGGGTGAGGGAGGGGTGAGGGAGGGGTGAGGGAGGGGTGAGAGAGGGGTGAGAGAGGGGTGAGGGAGGGGTGAGGGAGGGGTGAGAGAGGGGTGAGGGAGGGGTGAGGGAGGGGTGAGAGAGGGGTGAGAGAGGGGTGAGAGAGGGGTGAGGGAGGGGTGAGGGAGGGGTGAGAGAGGGGTGAGAGAGGGGTGAGAGAGGGGTGAGAGAGGGGTGAGGGAGGGGTGAGGGAGGGGTGAGAGAGGGATGTTGTGAAAGTGTGTTCATTGGTTGACTTGATGAGGCCTAGGTTCAGCTGACTCTCCACTCAAACACGCTGCTCGCCTCGTGTTCACCCCTCTCTCCGTGCTCGCTGTCAGTCAGCCTCAAGTGGCAGCACCGCAGGTGAGTTGTTCAATAGGTCACATGACACCTCAACCACGGAGGAGTGAGAGACAGGACTTCTCTGGGTTGACACTCGAATCGCTTATCCACCAGCCTTCGATGGCTCCTAAACCCATCACAAGGGGGTGCTCTCCTGGTCGACACATCCACCACCAGCTATTTCAGCTAGACATGGGAACAACTCCGCTCCGAGCCGAGCCGAGCCGAGCCGAGCCGAGCCGAGCCGGCTTCGGCTCACTTCAGCCGAAGGCCGGCTCGGCTCGGTGAAGCCGGCTTCGAGCCGAAGCCGAGCCGTAAAACGAGCCGGCTCAGCTCGGCTCGTTTTTGAAGCCCTCAAGCCAGGGATAGGGTTGCTCTTAGGGGAAGGGGGCGGTTAGAATGCTTGTAAGGGGCGCTTAGACTATGCTTAGGCAAGGGAGGGGGGGCGCTGGCTAGAAAAGGGTATGAAAAACGCGACTTTCGAAATGAGAGTCGAGTTTTGGGGGGGGTCGAATTTTGACCCCCACGGCTTCAAGCCGCGCCTTGTCGAGCCAGGCTTCGGCTCGGCTCGGCTCGGCTCGGCTCGGCTTCGGCTTCAGCTTCAGTGAAGCCTAACTCCGAGCCGAGCCGAGCCGAGCCGGGCAGGCTCGGCTTAAAAAAAAAACCAGCTCGGCTCGGCCTGAAGCCGAGCCGGCTCCGATTTAAGCCCATGTCTAATTTCAGCCACTGATGCATCTCTCCTTCCTGCCCCTCACCTCCCGAGCCCACCCCCCTGTCCCCCTCTCTCTCCCCGTTGTTTCTTTCCAGCTCTGTCTGCTGCGTCTTCCCTATTTCGCCTTGAACCAGGGTTGGATCTTCACGTTTTCTCTCCTTGGAATCGATTTATGAGGCGCCTGGAAAATCAACTTTATCCGCTTTTTCTTTTCTGTTTTGCCTTGAACCAGGGTTGGATCTTCACGTTTTCTCTCCTTGGAATCGATTTATGAGGCGCCTGGAAAATCAACTTTATCCGCTTTTTCTTTTCTGTTTCGCCTTGAACCAGGGTTGGATCTTCACATTTTCTCTCCTTGGAATCGCCCCATTGGCCGAGAGACTAGGGTTTGTAACAGAGTGAGTGGAAATGGGTGTGTGTTAGGGTTTGCCCATGTCTGTCCACTCACTTCCACATGCCTCGCAGCCATTATGTATGTCTGTCCTTGTTAACAATACCCGTCGTTTCTTGCGCGTTACCATCCCACTGTATGGCAACCATTCCAGCCACTCCCTTTTCCTCTCCTAACAACCCCACCCCTCCCCGACCAATCGTGTGCAGGCAGCTGGCACTGTACACCGGCCCAACCTGTAAGTTACTGCATACCCTGCTCCTGCGTTCTGTCACGCACGCCTTTCGCTGTTGTCACATTTGTTTCATGCATTTGCACCTCCTTGTCTTGTTGCCATAGTATTCTGTTTCTGACATCAGTAATCCCATCACACTTTAAAGCCTGCGGATTCGAGCAGTTTAGATAAGTCTGCTAGATTCATAAATTTTCTGTCCCTGTGCTTCCATTCTTCCGTGAACATTTGGCGGCCTGCTCAACACCACCTTTGGCAACTACAGAACTCATTATTCGCCCTGCATGACACGCTGCTCCTTTCCCTCTTTTTCCTTTCCCCATCTTTCTCTCGGCAGTGGGTGGGTGGGAAAGGAAAAAGAGGGAAAGGAAATTTCAAATGCGAAATTTCACCCAGCTGATCATTTCCCTATTCTCCCTGCAGAAAGGGCTCGCTCTGCATGGTGCAGGGAGAGTCTCAACGCCTCCCTACTTCCCCCTGCTTGCATGGTGCATGGGGAGGGGATCCAATCACTCTCCCTGCTTCCCCCTTCCTTTTTCCTTATCCCTCAACAGTGGGCGGTCTACTCAACGTCACGTTCGGCAACGCCACAGAGCTGATCATCTCAATATTCGCGCTGCAGACGTCCATCCTCCTCCTTCTCCCTCGTTTTCCCCTCTTCCCCAACCTTCCTTGGCAGTGGGCGGACTTTTGAACGCAACGTTCGGCAACGCCACCGAGCTGATCATCTCCATATTTGCACTGCAGAACGGGCTGATCCGAGTGGTGCAGATGAGTCTGCTGGGCTCCATCCTCTTTCTCCCTCTCCCTGCTTCCCGCCATTCCTTTTCCCTCGTCCTGTGGCAGTGGGGGGGCTACTCAACGCCACATTCGGCAACGCCACCGAGCTGATCATCTCCATATTCGCGCTGCAGAACGGGCTCATCCGAGTGGTGCAGATGAGTCTGCTGGGGTCCATCCTCTCCAACATGCTGCTTGTGCTCGGCTGCGCCTTCTACGTGGGCGGGCTGCGCTACCGCGAGCAGAAGTTCAATCGGGTGAGAAAGGGGTGTGGGTGTGTGTTACTGTGGGGTACTGTGGGGTACTGTGGGGTACTGTGGGGTACTGTGGGTTTATAAGGAGCAAGGGCTTCTACATGAGTGGGCTGGGGGGTGCGCTATCGTGAGCAGCAGTGAGAGGAGGGTGATAGAGAGGGGGAGAGGGGAGAGAAGGGCAGGGAGGAAAGGAGATAGAGGGGTGTGTGTGCGCTACTGCAAGAAGCAGCTCAATCAGGTAAGAGGCGTACAATAGAGAGGGGGAGGGGGGAGAGGGGGGGAGGGAGGAAAGGAGTTAGAGGGGTGCGTGTGCGCTACCATGAGAAGCAGCTCAACCGGGTAAGAGGGGGGTGATTGAGAGGGGGAAAGAGTGGGGTTGTAATGCACCAGTTGAGGCCATTTCTAGGGTGCGTGGTAACGGCAGGAGCAGCTCAGTCGGGTGAAAGGGGAAGCGGTGGGTGGGAAGGGGGGGGGAGGGGGGGGGAGGGGGAGGGGGAGGGGGCACTCGCCTGCACTTCTTGCCCGCAGCACTCGCCTGCACTTCTTGCCGGCAGCACTCGCCTGCACTTCTTGCCCGCAGCACTCCAGTGAACGCACACAGAGCTGCACGAGAGGGTCAGCGCCACAGCGAGTTCAATCGCCTGCTCCCCTTGTTCCGCTCCCTCCGTTCTCTCCCCTCCCCGAGTGAACACCACTTGGGTGCCATAGGACTTTACGTGGCAGCAACTTTAGAAACGCTTAAGTAAAACGAGCGTAGAGCTTGCTTAAAAACCTTTGTGAAGATTTTGATGGTAACTGGTTTCGGCTCGAGAGCCTTCTTCAGACCACAAAGAAATAAGCAAACTAGCTAGCCTATAAATACCACCTCGAGGACTCCTCGCGAGGCATTCCTCTGCGGGGTCTCGACGATGGCAAGGGAAAGAGAGATAAAACAAACAGTACAAATGTACTGTAGTCTAACACTTATGAGCAGAAATAAGAAAAATTCCAGCTCCCTTCGGCAGCCTCCAAGCGAGAATGGTTCTTCTGGAAGCGAAAGTTCCGTGTGACATTGTAACGAGATGACTTTTGAGTCGACTCAAAAGCCCTCTCTTTTCCCCCAACAGACGGCCGCATTGGACAACTCAGGTCTGCTCCTGATGGCAGTGATGGGCCTCACGGCACCAGCGGTGCTGCAGTCAACGCACACGGAGCTGCACGAGAGGGACAGCGAGTGGGGGCTCTTTCTCCATTCCCATTCCAACCTTTCTCCTGTCGTTTCCTCCCCGCCCCACCTCCCAGACTGCTGCTCTTGTCAACTCAGGCCTTCTTCTCATGGCAGTGATGGGGCTGACGGCACCGGCTGTCCTCCAGTCGACTCACACGGAGCTGCACGAGAGGGACAGCGAGCTGGGGCTGTCGCGCTTCAGCAGCGTCATGATGCTCGTGGCGTACGCGTGCTACCTCTACTTCCAGCTCAAAACGCATGCTCACTTATACGATGACGTGAGTCTTTTGAGGCGCTTGTATGCTGACGAGAGTGTGTGAAGGGCCCTGTCTGTCCTATGGAGCCACTCCCGCTTCAACAGCGTCGTGGCGTATGCGTGCTACCTCTACTTCCAGCTCAAGTCGCACTCTCACTTATATGACGATGTGAGTCATGTTTGCACCAGTACGATGATGTGGGTATAAGGAGGTTGCCATGAGCAACTCTCTCATGTAAGCTGCGCCGTGATGCTCGTGGCGTATGCCTACTGCTAGCTACCTCTACTTCCAACTGAAGACGCACTCGCATTTATACGACGACGTGAGTGCAACAGTGAGACCCATGAGCCACGAGGTATTGTGAATGCAACGAGTACGTGTGTGGTGCTCGTGGCATATGCGTGCTACCTCTTCTTCCAGCTGAAGAAGATGCACTCGCACTTATACGATGGTGTGGGGCATGTCAACACCTTTATGCTCTTGTGAAGACTCTATTTTCGACGTGCCTAAAAAATAGACTTCTCGCGCTAAGGGGACTCTGGAGCCCCTTCTCGCTTCAGCAGTGTCATGATGCTCGTGGCATATGCGTGCTACCTCTACCTCTACTATTCACAGGAAGGGGGGGGGGGGGAGGGGGGGAGGAGGGGGAGGGGAGGGGCGGTGATAATGCTGACAGCTATGAGAGAGAGATGGCACAAAGGTTCTGTGTGTGTGGGTTTCGGGTCGCTCCTACCTCTCTCTCATCTTACCTCCCCGATCTTCCTGCTCCTTTTTTTTCTCCCGTGTGTCACTCCTTGCGGCTCCTCATTTCCTGTCTCCCGTGTTTCACTTCTTTCCGCTGCTTTGTACTCACAGGAGGCGGGCGACGGGGATGATGAGGGGAGGAGTAGCAGGGGCTGGGCTTCTGTGTGGCAACCTCACCTCACCTCACCTCACCTCACCTCACCTCACCTCACCTCACCTCACCTCACCTCACCTCACCTCACCTCACCTCACCTCACCTCTCCCCTCTTCCTGCCCCTCATTCTCCGACCGCGTGTCCCTTCTTTCCGTTCGTACTCACTGGCGGGGGGATATGGCGACGAGGATGAGGATGACGAGCAGCTGGTGGGATTCTGGGGACCGATCTCGTTTCTTCCCCTTCCTCCCCTTCCTCCCCTTCCTCCCCTTCCTCCCCTTCCTCCCCTTCCTCCCCTTCCCTCCCCTTCCTCCCCTTCCTCCCCTTCCTCCCCTACCTGCTCCTCACTTGCACTATTCACAGGAGGGGGGAGATGGGGATGACGAGGGCGATGAGGAGCAGGTGCTGGGCTTCTGGGGAGCGATCGTGTCGTAATGTGCCCCTCCGACCCCCTCTCTCCCCCTTTCCCTCCCCCTCTTCCACTCTTGCTCTTCTCCCTGTCGTGTTCACAGGAGGGGGGAGAGGGGGACGATGATGACGATGAGGAGCAGGTGCTGGGCTTCTGGGGAGCGATTGTGTGGATGGGCATCATCACTATCTTCATCTCTATCCTCTCCGAATACCTTGTGGACGCTATTGAGGTACGTTGTATCGAGGTATACTATATCGGAACACCATATCAAGTGATCATGTGGATGGGGGACATCACTACCTTCATCGCTATTCTCTTGGAACTATGTTGGCATAAACGCGTTTCCGCGTTTTTGCGTTTCGTTCTGAACGCTTGCGTTCAGGACGCAAAACGCAGGATTCCAGGCTTCAAATACGCTCGAAAAACGCCTGCCCGGGCAGGCGGGAAATTTGGCCCGGGCAGGGGACGCCATGCTAGGGGCTCGAAGTCAGGTAGCTTAGGTGCTGGAAGGAAGAACGTAAGAGTGCTAGATCGTCAATGCATGTAAGGTGAGCGAATTTCTCCTCTACAGATAGATCTGGATCAAGCGGGGGGGGAATGGGTTGGGATTTTCAACACGTTGGGAAAAGGAAGGGAGGGATTGATGAGTTATCGTGTCGCTATGAAAAGTTTCGCGACTGCACGACGACGAATTTGCGACGCGCGAAACGTGTTGGCGTTTCGCGACGCGCGGCGAAATGTGTTTTCGATTCGCGACTTTGTGGGTTTTTTTTGCGTTTTTTTGTTCTGGGCAGCCCAAAAAATTCCAAGGTGCGTTCGAGCGTTTTGATGCGTTTTTGCGTATTGCGTTTAAACGATTGCGTTTAAACGCAAAACGCAAACTCACAAAAGCGTTTTTGTCAACACTGTCTTGGAATACCTTGTGGACGCTATCGAGGTATGTCATATTGAGAGGTACACTATATTGGAACACCTTATTAAACGATCGTCTGGATGTGTATGTTTAACCAAGAATGTGATCCAGGGGTGGGGTATGTGGCTCTAAGGCTGCTTGTGGCGTGGCACCTCCATAAGTGACTTCGTGAATGGGCGTCATCACACCACTGTGTTCAACTCAATCTTAGAGGCGCCTCAAAAATAGACTCCTGCAAAATCGTGAATGGGCGTCATCACACCACTGTGTTCATCTCAATCTTATGCGAATGCCTTGCAAGCACTATCGAGGCTTGCTTTAATGAAGCATATTCACGAACTCACTGAGGTGCTTTTGGTGGGAAATAGGAATTTTGAACCCGAGGTTCAGAAATAGAGATGGGTGGCAGGTGGTGCAGACGTACGCAGAACGGTTTCACGTGGTTTAGTGTGGTATTCTTGCTCGTTCAGGTGTCAAACCTCGTTCAAGCCTAAAAGCACCACACGCTGAGGCGATCTCATGGGTGGGGGTCGTCAGTCACCGTGTTGATCTCAGTCCTTGCCAGCGCTGTTGACGTGTGTTGTTTTTCGGGGTGCAGTATGATTGACGTGTGTTGTTTTTCGGGGTGCAGTATGATTGACGTGCGCTCGTCCCGATGGCGTTTCTGAGCGTCATCATCCTTCCCATTGTGGGCAATGCGGCTGTACTGTCCCCCTCCTCCCCCCTCCCCCCATCCCCCCTCCCCCCTCCCCCCCTCTCACCCACCCCCTTCCCTCTGTGCCCCTCCCCTCTATTGCTCTGCTCCCCCATATCAGGGCGCAGCGGACGCCTGGGACATCCCAGTGGCGTTTATCAGCGTCATCATCCTCCCCATTGTGGGCAACGCTGCAGAGCATGCCTCAGCAATCATGTTTGCAGCCAAGGATAAAGTGGTGAGAGGGGGTTTTGAGGCGAGTGGGGGTTTTGAGGCGAGTGGGGGTTTTGAGGCGAGAGGGGGTCCGCTGCTCTAAACCCTGACGCTGCAGAGCATGCTTCCGCCATCATGTTTGCCGCCAAGCATAAAGTGGTGAGAGGGGGATGAAGTGGTGAGAGGGAGGTGAAGTGGTGAGAGGGAGGTGAAGTGGTGAGAGGGGGACACGGAGAGAATGGGGGGTTTGGGGGAGGGGGTGGTTGGAGGAGAAGCAATGCTATCAGAGGCAATGTCTTTCTCTACTCTCACCCGCGGCTCCCGGCCACACGCGTTTCCATTCATTACCCATCCTCTGCTTTCTCAATGGCCTCACTATCCTCTCTCCTCGCACCACCCACCCTTTGCAGGATATCTCCCTTGGAGTTGCCATTGGATCCTCCACTCAAATCGCCATGTTCGCTGTGAGTTACCTACCAGAGTAACACCAATTCTTTTCTCTAACGCAACATCAGCGCGTTACCAATCACCACATCTATTGTGGGTGGATACCGATGGATCACGTTGTGGTAACTGCATCCCCCCACTATAGGTGTGGGGGGATACAAAAGGTGCATTGGTAACACATCTATACTGCACATTGTGTTACCTTGTGTGTGAGTTACCAATGCACAGTTACAACCCCCTCGGTTTTCCCTTGTGTCTCCTGGAACTTGGACTCCTGGATCTTGACTCTTGCAAATCTCCTTCTGCGTTTGGAGTCTATTTCTGAGAAGCCTAAAGAATCATCTCCTCCTGCTTTTGGAATCTGTTTTCGAGACGCCTCAAAGACAATCTCCTTCTGCGTACCAGGAGTCGAGTTCCGTGTCATTATCGGCCAGGCCATGGGATCGCCCATGGATGAGGCTCTCATCTGCCACCTCATGAATCCGCCACTTCCCTTACCTCCTGGCTACCCTCGCCCAACCTAATCCCAACTTGCTCCTCAAACCCAGATCCCATTTTGTGGCATTGTTGGGTCGGCCACGGGACTGTCCATGGCCCCCATGGACCCCATGGACCCCAGTTTCCACCTCTTCAGACCTCCCTTGATTTCAGATCTCCTTATGTGTCGTTGTCGGACGGGCCATGGATCTCAACCTCCACCTCTTTGAAACCCCCACTCTCCTCTCCTCCCCTCCTTCGTACCCTACCTCCAACCCCTCCCCCAACCCTTCCCCCAACCCTAACCCCAACCCTTCCCCCAACCCTAACCCCAACCCTAACCCCAACCCTAACCCCAACCCTAACCCCAACCCTAACCCCAACCCTTCCCCCAACCAACCCTACCCCTAACCCTCGCGTCCAACCCAGATCCTCCTTCTGTGTGGTGGTGGGGTGGGCCATGGTCGTTCCTATGGATCTCATCTCCCACCTCTTTGAGACTGCTGCTCCCATCCCCTCCTCCCTTCCCCTCCCCCTCCCCCTCTCCCTCCCCCTCCCCTTTTTCCCCCTTACTTGACGTCAGATCCCTTTCTGCGTCGTGGTGGGCTGGGCCATGGGCACGCCCGTGGATATCAGCTTCCCTCTCTCGACAGCCGTCATTCCTCCTCATCCCACCTCCTTTTTCCCGCGCCGCTTAAATGTCAGATCCCCTTCTGTGTGGTGGTGGGGTGGGCCATGGGCGTGCCCATGGATCTCAACTTCCATCTCTTTGAGACCGCCACACTCTGCATGACAGTGCTTGTCGTCGCTGCGCTGCTTCAGGTGGGCCTCTGTTACTTCAGGTGGGTTTCTGGTGCTTCCGGTGGGCCTCTGTTGCTTCCGGTGGGTTTCTGGTGCTTCCGGTGGGCCTCTGTTGCTTCAGGTGGGTTTCTGCTGCTTCAGGTGTGCCTCAGCTGCTTCAGCGGGTCTTTATTTTAGTACCTGTCATGAGACAGCGTGACATCCCTTTCCTCTCCATGCCGTTTGTTTCTTCTGCCTGACTCCCCTCCATGCCGTTTGTTTCTTCTGCCCGACTTGCAGGAGGGCGAGAGCAACTATTTCAAGGGCATCATGCTTGTGCTGAGCTATCTTATTGTGGCCGCCAGCTTCTATGTGCACAACGACATCGGTATGTACAGTAGATTGGTATGTGTGGTAATTTGGTAGGTGCACAACAATTTTGGTATGTATGTACAGTTGATTGGTATGTGTGGTAATTTGGTAGGTGCACAACAATATTGGTATGTACAGTAGATTGGTATGTGTGGTAATTTGGTAGGTGCACAACAATATTGGTATGTACAGTAGATTGGTATGTGTGGTGATTTGGTAGGTGCACAACAATATTGGTATGTATGTACAGTAGATTGGTATGTGTGGTAATTTGGTAGGTGCACAACAATATTGGTATGTACAGTAGATTGGTATGTGCACAAGACTAAGCTGTGACGACGACAAGGGCGTCATGCTTATGCTCACCTGTCTTGTTGTCGCCGCCAGCTTCTATGTGCACAACGATATCGGTATGTACAGTTTCTTTAATCGTATGTGGCAACGCTGGTATGTTTTCTACAGCACTAGCATAGTGTTAGAGGCGGTTGTGGTGGACAGTGTATAAGGCACAGTGGCATCAGTGTTCTCTAACCTGCTCTGTAACCTGCTCTGTAACCTGTTCTGTAACCTGCTCTGTAACCTGCTCTGTAACCTGCTCTGTAACATGTACATTCGTGCTTTTATCATGCTTTTACCCCTCTCTTCCCCTCTCCCCTGCCCATCGTTCTCCCCATCCTCCAGCCTATCAGAGCACCCAAATGACCCTATCCCCCGTCCCCCTTGCCCATTCCCATGGCACCCTCTTCCCCATCCCCATCCTCCTTCCCTTCCCACTCTTGGTCGTTTCCCCCCCTCTTCGTCCCAACCTGTCAGGATCCGGATGCCCTTATCACGCCGGTTTACTTCTCCTTCCCTTCCCCGATCGCTTACCCCTTCCACTTCCCTTTCTCCCTGTGCATTTCCTTACCCCCTCCCCGTCTAAATATATCGGAGGATCCAGATGACCTGATTTCTATGGCGCCAGCGTCCTCCACCTCACCCATGGCGTTCCCAGTCTTAGCCAGCTTTCGTCTGTCCCCGCCTCTTATCCCCGTCTCGTCCCCGTCCCCCCTCCCTTTCTCCCTGCATAACCCTTCAGAGGACCCGGATGACCCGATCCCCGTGGCGCCAGCATCCCCCCCCTCACCCATGCCATTCCCAGTCTAATCCAGCATCCTCCCCGTCTCTTCCCCTTTCAATTACCCCTCTCCCGCCTCCCTTTCTCCCTCGTAACCCTTCAGAGGACCCGGATGACCCAATCCCCATGGCGCCAGCATCGTCCCCCTCGCCCATGCCATTCCCAGGCTAAGCCGGCCTTTGAGGCACCTCAAAAGGCTAAGCCGGCCTTTGAGGCACCTCAAAAGGCTAAGCCGGCCTTTGAGGCACCTCAAAAGGCTAAGCCGGCCTTTGAGGCACCTCAAGAGGCTAAGCCGGCCTTTGAGGCACCTCAAAAGGCTAAGCCGGCCTTTGAGGCACCTCAAAAGGATAAGCCGGCCTGTGAGGCACCTGAAAAGGCTAAGCTGGCCAGCCATCATCCGCTCATCAGCATTCTCATCACATGGGGTGACTCCACACCACAGCCACCTGACTCCTGAGGCTCATGGATTGGCATCAGGTGTTCCGGCCATGTGTGTACGTACGCCATCCAACTACCGTATGCCACACGGAGAAACATGCCTTGCCATGATTAGAGGGTCTCAAAGCACCCACGCCACGCCATGCCATGCCACACCATGCCATACAATGCCATGCTATGGCCAGCCGTGAAGTTTGATAGGATGTATTTTTCCGTTGGGAATAAATTATGTTGAAGCAAGGCCGTGGTATTGGTACACGCTATGTCACCACCAGGGAAGAGATTAAAACCACAGGCTAGAATAGCAAGGGGGGGGCACACTCGAAAATTTGGTATTTTTCAAAGTCAGAAAAAAGGATCCGACTTGCGCTGGTACACTTTCCCAGTCTCGAAAAACCATTCCTGCGAAATTGCAGCTCACGTTAATTTGCCGACGATACTACACAGATCGTACCCCCGGGAAGGAACACCTCGCGACAAGTTCGAGGGTCGCAGGCTGAACGAAATAGAAGGGCACGCGACCGCCTGTCACCACCCCGAGTTTCAAGTGAGCCCCGGGCAGGCCCTAAGATTCGTTTTGGGATACGTTGATTCATCATCCCTGCCCCCTGCATTAAGGCTGATTTTGCAGACTTGCCCTTGGAAGTGTTGTGATATAATTGATACTTAGCATTTCTGTAAGTCGAATCATAGGACAGTCGAATCTGTCAGAAACTAGCTTAGCTAGGAAGCCATAGAATGGCACAAGGTTTAGCTAGGAGCTAGGAGGAGCCATGAGAATGGCGAGAGGTTTTAGGTGCTAGGAAAGTTGAGGAGAGAAAAGGAGTTGGATTAGAAGAGAGGGGAGTACAAGGAGGGGTTTGTACCCCCTACAGAAAGGTTCAGTAACAACCTACCAAACCTATATTAAATTATAACTTATATAATTTGAACACACCCCCTAGGCTTGGTAGTCACATGCCCACACACACCCACACCCCCTAACCTAGCACCCCCATTCCAGCCACAGTGACAGCGACTCTAGGTCGGTCGACCCCACGGCGCGTGAGGCGGCGACGTCGACCGCAGGGGCTGCGGCGGCGACGGCGGCAGCGGCGGCAGTGTCGACAGCGGCGGCGGCGGCGGCGTGCGGCTGCGTGGCCCCGACGCAAGCGGCGACAGCGGCGGCGGCGGCGGCTTCGACAACAGCGGCAGCGGCGGCGGCACCCGCACCTCTCGGTGACGTGGCCAGGCCCCGCGACGGTGGGACGGCCGGCGGGAGTCAGCCGTCGTCTGCGGAATGGAAGAGGGCACAAGGGAAGGAGGGGGGTGGGGGGGGGGGGGCGCCACAGGCTGACATGCGGGCGGCCGGTCTAGCGGCGCCACAAGCGTCACGCGGCCGGCTGCAGCCCGACGACGCCGTCATGGAGCGGCGTCGATGCCGCAGCGGGGCGTCGACGTTGCGACGGCAGCACGACGTCGCCGTTACGCCGACCGCGCGCTGTCGCGTAGACGCCGCGGCAGCGTGACGGCGCCGTCACGTCGCGACAGCATCTTGACGCGACGGCGGAGCTGCGGCACGACGGCGCGGCCACAGCAGCTGGACGCGGGCGCCATGGACGTCGACGGCGGCGCCGCGGCACGACGACGCGGCCACAGCAGCTTGACGCGGCCGCCATGGCAGCGCGAGATAGAGAGAGAAACGAGCACGCAGCGGAAACGCGAGGAGCAGGCCCACGCGGAACGAACTGCTCTGATACCATGTCAGAAACTAGCTTAGCTAGGAAGCCATAGAATGGCACAAGGTTTAGCTAGGAGCTAGGAGGAGCCATGAGAATGGCGAGAGGTTTTAGGTGCTAGGAAAGTTGAGGAGAGAAAAGGAGTTGGATTAGAAGAGAGGGGAGTACAAGGAGGGGTTTGTACCCCCTACAGAAAGGTTCAGTAACAACCTACCAAGCCTATATTAAATTATAACTTATATAATTTGAACAGAATCACACTGTAGAAGATAAGTCCGTAGGATGACGTCAGCAAATAGCGCTCGTCATAGGACAGCCGTTTTAGTCACGCGAACAGTCGCACCTCTTCATTATCATCTAGGGCGCATAGCGCGATAGTGACGAACAGGTACATTAGCGAATAGGTACTTTTCGTAGAACTATAAAATACTTGTTAGGTCTTTGTCATTATTAACTTTTGATTACCCACAAGTTCACGTACTCAGGTTATTCAACCTTGACCTTTATATTTTACAAGACTTCCGCTGTCTTACTAGTCTACCATTCCAGCAAAGATCCTGGACCAACACTTGAAGATTTGCCAAGTGTTCGTATTTATAGTTTTATACTTAGTCTACTACAACATCAGACGATTTATTTCATGGTATGAGAGCTATCTGGAATCAAGACTACCGTCAACTATGACTGGTCCATCACCAGTACCATCTGCTGGATCAGTTACTGGAACTACTGGAGCATATGCCTCCACTACCGCCGCTGGTCTCTCAGCCACTGGGCACTTTCCACCAGCCTATGCTAATATCGGTATGCAGAATCCGCCTTCTGTAAATACTCCAGGTGCTCCATCGACTGCACCTGCAATACAACAACAACAATCACAGACAACAACACAGCAACAAGCGTCAGTACCGCCACCAGTTTCAACGCAATCGATTTCGTCTGCGCTTAGTGGAATGAGCCTTGACGGCTCAAGTTACATGCATGGAGCTACAGCTCCAAGTACTGGTTCGTTCGCCTTTTCACCTTTCGTACAGCAGCCGCAGTCGCAGCAGTTTCAGCATCCTTTTTATATCTTCGGACGTTCCCCTGCTCAACAACAACAGCAGCAGTATCAGCAACCACAGCCAGTACAGCAACAGCAACAACAACAACAGCAACAACAACAACAACAACAACAACAACAACAACAACAACAACAACAACAACAACAACAACAACAACAACAACAACAACAACAACAACAACAACAACAACAACAACAACAACAACAACAACAACAACAACAACAACAACAACAACAACAACAACAACAACAACAACAACAACAACAACAACAACAACAACAGCCAAGCATCGTTTTCCAGCCTCCAAATTTACTTAATAATACACAGATCAAGACAACCGTACCTTTCAATGGTGTTGACTTCTACTCCTAGAGCTTTTGAGTTTGAACTTTTGGCACAGTCCGCTGGGTTATGGCCGTTCTTCACTGGCGAATTTACGTATCCTGTCGTGGGAACACAACTGGAGCAGCAAAGTTTTTTACACGCCTCTCTCGGGGCGTATGCAGTTCTTGTACGGAATTTGTCGCCGAAGGAGCAGCTCGGCGTTCGATCATTTCACTCAAGTTTCACACCAGCAGAAACTGCATGGAACCATCTGAAAGGGGTATACATGGCAAAGGATACGATAACAGTGAGTAAAATACTTTCGCAGTTAACAAGTGTGCAGATGATGACACGTGAGAACGTCATGGATTACGTCAACCGCGTCCGTACACTACGCGATCAACTGGAGAAAAGTGGGGGATACTTCCCTCGTAAGATGTATCTCACAGTACTTCTGGCTGGCCTTGGACCCGAATGGCGACAGACGCGCGCCTTTCTGCGCATGAATCCCAATCTCTCCGAAGACGAAATTTCTTCTTATCTTCAAGAAGAGCAGCAAGATCTTGACCTGCAATCACAACGAAATCAGAAAAAGGGGCTTCACTTAAGTTTTTACTCCAATCCAGAACAACAGCATCGACATCCACCAAAGTATCCATTCTGCCACTTCTGTAAGAAACCAGGACATACTTACCAAAACTGTCACAACCGTCATCAAACTCATCGCAGCACTTCGCAGCCGTATCACCAATCGCAGCAGTTACCGAAGACACAATAGCCATAGCAGTAGTTAACGTCTCAGCAGCACCAGATGCCGAAACCGCCGCAGAATTCATCAACGCCGCAGCACCGCCCGCCGGTCTTCGCATCTGCCACATCAGGAAAAGGAGTTTTTGGTTGTGTTACAACAGTTGATATTTCAGAAACAGATTTCGAGACACGTCTTGAAGAAACCACAAGTGCTGAAGGCATTCCTTTACCTCAAGTTTACGCTAACCTTGCTCGAATCATTTCAGGTCCGAATACCTGGTAACTTGACAGTTGCTGCGGATGGCACATGTGCTCAGCAGAAACAAGCTTCATTACCAATCAGCGTCCACTTCGTCGTCCGATACCTGTAACAGTCGCAAACGGACAAACTATTATGGCACGAGCAATTGGAAGTGTCATGCTCGAATCTATCGACACAGGATACTCACTTCATGTTACTAATGTTCTTATCGTCGCTGGTCTTGGCTTCAATCTTCTTTCCACGGCTCAGCTCCTGGCACACAAAATCCGCACACAGGGCAATTGTGACACGATGGATCAGGAGCTCTGGCACAGTACGACGAATACTTATCTTGGTCGTGCCGCCACTCAACATGGCGTATCCGTTCTTCAGTTCGCAGCACAAGGAACTTCTAGAGATTCTGAACCCGTGCTTGCACTTGGTCCCTGGGATCACCCAACAGAAACATATTATCAACACGTGGACATTGACTTTCAAGCAACAATTGTTCCAACAGCTTCTCGAACTGCAGCCGCCGTACTTACCGCGTTGGATACCTGGGAGTTCAGTACCGCCGATGAAAGTGCCACCGCGTGGCGAACGTTTTATAATACCCGTGCAGCCTTCCAAGGGACTTCATCACCACTTTGGGGAGAGATAAGTGGTCTTGCAGCTCATGAACCTGACGTTGTTGAAGAAGCCGAACAGGAACAAGTAGCTGAGCAGCCGCGTCCAACAGTCGCTGTCGCCGAAATACCTGCAACGACATCAACAGACGCAGTGTCAAAAGTTATAAACGCATCTGAAGCAGCACCTTCAAATGTCACGTTATCGCTTACCCGTTTCGTCGAAGGAGAAATTGACAAGTCCCCAGCGCTTTCTCCTTTTATTCTTTCTTCGTTTTATACTAACTCCGATTTCTACCTGCGATCATCAGGACACAAAGCCACAGAAGATATATGGCATCAGCGGTTAGGACATCCGTCACAAGGGATTCTTAATCATTCAATCCGAGCAGCAGTTCTTGATAAAAACAATTTATTTTACCTGATGGCACGGAGATGAAGCCGCAGTCTCGTCCGACAGTTTGCATCACTTGTCCAGTTGCCAACCTTACGCACGATCCTTTTCCAAGTCATTTTCCTGGCTCAACACGTTATAAACTGATGCAGAAAGTCTACAGCGACATACTCAACTTGTCTGAAGCAGGACCTAAAGACGAGAAGTATGTCATAACTTTCATCGAAGCGTCTATACGCTATGTCAGGACAGCAAACTTACCTGCGCGGCATCTCGCTCACTCCGTCTTCGTCGCATGGCTCGCTGTCGCTGAACGAGAGTCTGGCATGAAACTGCAAGAATTTCAGAGTGATGGTGCAGGGGAGTACACCAGCAATACTTTCACAGAGTACCTACAGACACTCGGCATCAAACGGAAGCAGTCGCTGCCACATGCACACCAACAGATGGGGGTAGCAGAAAGGATGAACAGAACTCTGCAGGAGAAGATGAGTGCTCTGCTGACGCGGGCAGCACTTCCACCGCATTTTTGGCCGTATGCGATGGACCACACCGTGCTGTTACACAATCTTCTTTCTTCAACATCCTTGCCCGAGTTCTCTTCACCATCACGTGATTGCCTTTTCTATGAAAGACTCACCTTGCCCGTTTTTCGTGCCCACCAGGCAGCAGCTGCCAACCCTGCCAGGCTGTTCGAAGGCTCGCGTGCATTTGCAATTGACGAAGCCGAAGCTGATGTTCATGACGAGGATGTTTCTGAAGCATCCGAAGCTGCCGTAACAGAAATCCCCGAACCTGTTACCTCGACCGGCATACCTGAATTCATTCCTCTTGCCGATGCTGACGAAGATGACGTTCGCGAAGTTCATCTCAGTTACGAACGCGACTGCCAACAGCAGCCGATGCCCGTCGTCTCCGACGAAGCAGTTCGTGTTTTACCTGACGAAATTGGGGGGGAAGAAGGACCAGAAGAAAATTTCGCAGGTGCAAACGAAGAACGTCCGCGCTTTACAGAAACATGATTACAGATACTGGGGTTCGCAGTCGCAGTACAGTACAACGACAGTAAAATACCTGAACCGAAAACCGTTCGACAAGCTCTTACGAGTCCTCACCGAGAAAAATGGCGCGAAGCCATGGACAAGGAGCTAGCAGCACTCAAGAATCGTGGCACGTGGGATTTAATACCGACTTCAGAAGTAAAAGGGAAGAAGGTACTTACCGGAAAATGGGTTTTCCGCGTCAAGACTAATGCAGATGAGTCGTTTGAGAAATTCAAGGCGCGATGGGTCGTCCGCGGGTTCGAACAGACTTACGGCATCGACTACGACTTAACGTTTGCTCCTGTCGGCCGACATACAAGTGTTCGGATTCTACTCTGTGTCGCCGCCTGCCGTAATCTCCGACTTCGACAAATTGACGTGTCGAATGCATTTCTCTACGCACCTGTCGACGCACTTATCCTGGTAGAGTACCCGCATTCCTATACTACTAACCCACCGAGCGTTTGCCGTCTCCGACAATCCCTATATGGTATTAAACAGGCACCACGGCTCTGGCAGCGGTATCTTCACGCACAACTGATCACTGCCGGTTTTCGTCAATTACCGCATGACCAGGGAATGTATCTACTGACCGACGGCAACAACTATATTTTACTCGTCGCCAACGTCGATGACATCCTATTTGTCAGTACTACCGATTCTCTTGCCGACATCTTCATACGGAAATTACAGAAAACTCTACAGCTTACCGTCTCCAAAACAGTCTCACATTTTCTCGGTTTGAACATTACCTGTTCACCGACGACTATTCATCTCACCGCTTCGAACTATGCAGCAACACTCACTGCCCGCTTCAACCTCACACCTACTGCAGTCTCTACGCCATACCGCTCACTACCGACTGACCACAAACCGAACACCGCACTGTTAACTTCAACTGGTTTACAGATTTATCAACAGCAGCTAGGCTGTCTACTCTTCGCAGCTGTCACTTGTCGTCCTGATCTAGCCTACGCGGCCAGTCAGCTCGCTCAGTTCCTACGCCGTCCTGAGGAGGAGCATCAGCTTGATCTTCTCCGCGCGCTTCAATATTTTATCTCAACACCTGACGTCGGTTTAGTCTACAACGTCATCGGTTCTAAGACTCTCTATCTACATGGTTTTGTCGATGCCGATCACGCTGCTGATTCTACTTATCGACGGTCACCCACTGGATTCATCTATCGGCTTGAACCTATCGGGCCTATCTCTTGGAATTCGACGAAGCAGGAGTTGATTGCTCTCTCCTCTGCTGAAGCTGAGTATATTGCTGTCTGTACAGCAACACGCGAATGACTTTACCTACAGGAACTATTCGAAGAAGCGAAGTTGACGACAACTACCCAGTTTACCCTACAATGCGACAATCAAAGTGCAATTCGCATCGCACATCAACCTGGTTTCGTCAACAGGACGAAGCATATTTCGCTTCGTTATTTTTTCGTCAAAGATGAAGTCGAGAAGGGGAGGATGCGCTTGGTCTACTGTTCGACCAACGAAATGGCTGCCGATTTTCTCACGAAGAAGCTAACACGACAGAAATTTCAGTACTGTAACAAGCTCTGTGGAATCTTCAAGAAGTGACACTATCGAACTTCAAGAAATGAGGGGGAGTGTTGTGATATAATTGATACTTAGCATTTCTGTAAGTTGATTAAGTGTAGTTAGTGTCGAATCATACTGTAGAAAATAAGTTCGTAGGATGACGTCAACAAATAGCGCTCGTCATAGGACAGTCGTTTTAGTCACGCGAACAGTCGCACCTCTTCATTATCATCTAGGGCGCATAGCGCGATAGTGACGAACGGGTACATTAGCGAATAGGTACTTTTCGTAGAACTATAAAATACTTGTTAGGTCTTTGTCATTATTAACTTTTGATTACCCACAAGTTCACGTACTCAGGTTATTCAACCTTGACCTTTATATTTTACAAGACTTCCGCTGTCTTACTAGTCTACCATTCCTGCAAAGATCCTGGACCAATACTTGAAGATTTGCCAAGTGTTCGTGTTTATAGTTTTATACTTAGTCTACTACAACATCAAACGATTTATTTCAGGAAGAAAGGCTGAAAATTGCAGCGTTACCTTAAAAATTTACGCTGATTATTCAGCGTTGGTCGAAAATTATAAGTCTGATGCAAATTCTGAATGGTCTTTTAGGAATTAGCGTGGACTTTTAATAACGGATTTCACGCTAGCCTAAGGGCATGTTCTGTTAAAATTATCGAAGTTATAATTTATATAGGCTTGGTAGGTTGTTACTGAACCTTTCTGTAGAGGATACAAACCCCTCCTTGTATGCCTCTCTCTTACTACCAAGGCCTCAGATAGGATTTTGGGCATCCTGACCAATCAGGGCAAGCCTCCAAAAAACCGTGTAGCACTCAGGGTTGGTTGCTTATATTCATACTGATTCTTCAGGGTGGTTTCCCAATTTATACTCTCATCTCAGGGTAAATTCAAAAACGTTGGAAACGTTGCACTAAGTCACATTGCACTGCAGAAGAATACTAACAGGATATCGGTCGGCACTTCATGTTTTGCGCTAGCTTAGCCACTATTGGTCAAGCTTGTAAGATTTGGCGAAAATCTGCGCACGCAGCAAATCAGGCCGGGAATTTTTCCGGCAGTCCGATTGTTCAAGGCCTGTTGTTATGTGACGCGATGTCGGGCCACTTCGTTACATTTAGGACTGTGCTGGTCAAATTTGCCCATCAACGCAGTCTTGACACGAAATAGAGTGACTTGTGTCGACTTTGAGACACACCCTCAGTTGAAAAATGCCACATCTGGATTTTTATACGAAAGTCGAATGCATGTGGGCGAACGTGAAACATTTGGCGTCGAGCTGTTCTGACGGCCCGTTTGAGTTTGGATGTTGGAGAGCTCGAGGGAATTTTGGGCATTACAAATTTGATGGCCAAAATCTGTTCAAGTGAAGTGACAGGAATTTGGGCCGTTCGATCGTCGACGAGTCAATCGTATGCAGAGACTTCGGGGGGTTTGAATTCTGTGCATGCGGAACACTATGCTAAAATGTCTAGCTCGCCGAGATTGAGGACCACCGAAAAAATAGAATAGTGGGGGGGGTGGGGGAGGAAAGCGGAGGGGGGAGTGGGGGGGATTGGGTTTCGTTCGAGGATTGTCTCTACCATTAAGAACTTAGCCAAAATAGAGTGGCATGGGGCTGGTTGGAGGATTGACTCTAGCATTGTCGAGGGGGTTGGAGGACTTAGCCAAAATTTGTTTGGGCGGAAAAAAACAAAGCATGCACCACTGGGGCACGTGCATTTGCAAGATTCGATGAATCAAGGTTATCCCTGAAAGCATACTGACACCTCAGGGCTGGTACACAAACACTATACTGAAACTTCAGGGTTGCACTATGACTTAAAACTGAATTCACAGGGTGGAAAATTACCTTAAACTGAATTTACAGGATTGACCCCTAACAAGCATCCTGAAAATCAGGTCAGGATAAAACATCCTGATATCTGAGGGGCTGCTTACTACTCCAACCCTCTTTTCTCTCGACACTTTTCCTACCCTCCTAGCTAAACCCCGCCGCCACATTCATGGCGGCCTTTACTGCCTTCTAGCCTAGACTAGCTATTTGACATGGTTTCAGAGCAGGTGACCGTTTACGGGCCTGCTCCCCACGCTTCCGCCGCGTACTTGTCTTTCACCTGTCTTCGTTCCGTGCCGCCGATGGCAGCCTTTAATTTTCCTGCCGCCGTGGCGGCCTTGCCTTTCCGTGCCGCCGTGGCGGCCTCTCCGAGATGCCGCGGCGGCTTAGTCGTGCTACTGTCGCACCTCCGCCTCGCCGCCGCGGCATCGACGTCGCGCTGTGGCGGCGTCTTTTGGCTGCCGTGGCGGCGTCGTCGGGCGACAGCCGGCCGCGCATCGTCAGTGGTGCCGCCGGACCTGCCGCCCGCTCTGCAGCCGCCGGCGTGATTCTGGACTACGCCCCGCTCCCCCCCCCCCCCCCCCCCCCCCCTTTCCTTCCCCTCCGTTCCCCCTTCCTTGCCACAGTCGACGATTGCCTCGTGATGGCCGTCCCAGTCGCCGAGGAGCCTGGCCTAGACTAGCTATTTGACATGTTCTTGCCTCGAGGAAAACTTCTAGGCAGGACTCCGGGGCGTCTCGTATACCGGTACGGCTGAGATGGTCCAAAACCCCATATTTTCCGATATCGACCGTGTACAAAATGCCCCAATGTGCCGCCCTGATGTTTTCCGGAGGCAAGAACACTGCCTGAAGCACTTGAATTGCCAGTGATGTGGCGCGATACAAAATTTTGAGGTGTTTGCGCGCCAACCACCTCGGGAAAGCCAAGTTGCTTGCGCGGCAGTGTGGCGCCCCCACCCCAGGGCAAAGGACTAGCGTGACTAGCTGCAGTAGAGTCGAGACTTCGGCTCCAGGCCTTACGTTTGGGTTTTTTTTAATCCGGATTCTTCCAGAATTGAATATTGATGCCTCAGTTTGTGCATTTATAAGGTCCCACGGACGTGGAGCTCGTCGAAAGGATAGAATAGGCTTTCAAACGGGCAAATTTCAGGCCTGTTTAGCCAATCCGGATTTTATTTCGGCACGGGTTTCGCTGGAAAAATCTGAGATTTCACCGAAATTTCGGATTATTACCCGTCTATCGTGAGCCCTGTTCGGCTCTCTGGGTGGGGGGAAGGTGTGAGGGGTGTTTCTGGTTGCTAAGGACTAGCACAAATTCTCCAAGGTTGCGGGGGCTACGAGAGGGGGTGTGACTGGTTTCCAAGGACTTCAACAAAATCTTTTAGGTTGCCGAGGGTATGAGAGGAGTGTGACTGGTCGAGGACTTCAAGATTTTTTTCTTGGGGGTGTGTGTGATTGGATGCGGTAATCACGGGGGGATGCAAATCTCACTGTACTCGGTTTCAGACTCCCCCCCAGACACATCGTTGAAACCTCAGCCTACACTCCAACAAAAACGCTGAAATCAACATACATCACTGTAAACAAAAGGCTGAATTTGTCAGCCTTACGTATCTCAAAAAGTCTTACAGTTCAGCGTAGGTTTAAGAAAAAAGGCTGAAGAAAGGCTGAATCAGCGTAAAAAGGCTGATATCTAGGGGCCTGGCCCCGGGTGTGCTTCTAGTAGTTCTCAAACGTATGCTGTTTTTACACGTAGACTAGCTTAGGAAGCCCCTGCGGTCTCGACACCTATCCTAAAAATCTGCCGCGGGTTTAGCGGGGCAAGAATAGTCTCCCCTACGTGTAAGAGGTTTTAGTGTTAGAATGCAAGAATGAATTATACTAGAGTGTGAAACCTAGAACATATACCTGTTGGGGTTGTACTCACTAGAAGCACACACCTAGGCTAGCCTATAGCTTCTACATACAGCATATGTATAAGTTGACACACCCCCTAGGCTAGAGAAGGGGTGGTGCTACGCAAGAAGCACACAGCTCAGGGGTGGCACTACTAGTCCAACCACTGAGGCAGGGGTCCTGAGACCAGTCAGCAAGAGTACAAACAAGGCCGAAGCAAACCAGGGCGGCACCACTAGTCCAGCCACTGGGGGCAAGGCCACAAGGCCAGTCAGACATGTCTATATAGTAGAGAGTACACAATCAGGGTCCTAACATGTGAGTAGCTACAGAAACTAGACCAAGCTGCACACAACGCCGCTAATGATCTTAGGCGCAAGCGCCTTCGTAAAGATATCAGCTGTGTTGGCACCGGAGGCCAAGTGAACTACGCGGACCTGGCTACGCTGCTGTAGCTCGCGCAGGAGGAAGTACCGCAGCTGGATATGCTTCGCTCTGCCCTCAAGCCGAGGCTCCTGATACAGGAGAATCATGGCCCTGTTGTCAGCGTACAGGACCGGGGCAGAGCTAGGCCGCTCACCTAAGTCAGCGAGCAAGAAGGTCAGCCAGCGGAGCTCCTGTGCCGCCATGGCACCCGCGTAGATCTCAACCTCACAGCTGGACTGAGCAACAGACGATGAGCGAGTGGATCTCCAAGAGATAGCACCCGAACCAAGGCTAAAACAGTAGCCCTGAGACGACCTGAGAGTCTCAGAGTCGTCTGCCCAAGAAGCGTCTGTGTGCCCAGTGAGAACCACCGGCCTGCGTCCTCCAAGCACTAACCCCATGCCCGATGTACTTGCTAGATATCGCAAAACCCTCTTAGCGGCCGACCAGTGCTGTGGTCTATGTCTGCCGGTGGCCACAAAGCGAGCCAGGATGCTGATAGGGTATGCAAGATCTGGGCGAGTGCAAGTCATCAGGTACATGAGGCAATCCACCAGCTCTGCGTAGGGGCCGCTGGGCTCTACTGGCTCCTCAAGAACGGGAGTGGAGAGCCCATGGTCTACAGGTAGAGGTGTGGGCTGTGCGGAGGAGAACTGAAGACCAAACCTCTGAAGGATCTGACGCACCAAGTGTGACTGAGTCAGAGTGATGGTGCGTGCTGCTCTGTCCTTGGAGATCTGCAGGCCAAGATAGCGACGCAGCTCTCCAAGGTAAGTACAGGTGTGTCTCTTCAGCAGCTCTGCGTTCACAGAGGATAGTGCGTCCCTGTCAGCAGTAGCGAAGACCAGGTCGTCTATGTAGACAAGGATGGAGAACGAGGTCTGGCCGGAACGCACAAAAAGTGAGGGGTCAGCAGAGGACGGATAGAACGGCAAGTTTGCTAGCAACGCACGCAGTGTGTCGTGCCACTCGCGGGGAGCTTGGCGCAGGCCGTAGACCGGATGCCTGAGAAGCCACTGGGTCCCAGGGGGGAAGGTACCGGTGAAGCCCTGTGGTCAGCGCAGGTAGACCTGCTCGTGTAGGCTGCCCTGAAGAAAGGCAGTGGAGAAGTCGAGGGAGTGAAGCTCGTAGTCGCGCTGTGCTGCTATGTGTAGCAGTACACGAAGAGTAGTCATCTTTGGGGTCGGGGCAAAGGTCTGGAAGAAGTCCACCCCCTTGCGCTGGCTGAAGCCTCTAGCCACGTAGCGCGCCTTAAAGACATGCGGCTCTCCAGGGGGGCGCTTCACGTTGAAGAGCCACCGACCATCGACTACGTTCACCCCAGGAGGGGGAACTGCGTCGACGTAAGTGCCGGTGGACCTCCAAGATGCCATCTCCTGCTCCAGGGCAGCTATCCATTGAGAGGCCCAGGGTCCCGAGGTGGCCTCAGCGTAGGTGCAAGGGGTCGGGATGTCGAAGGCGTCTGGGTCACCCTCTGGGACTAGGAGCATGGAGCAGGGATGGGGAGCGGCCTTGGAAAGGAAAGCAAGCTCGTACTGTCTGTCCTCTAGAACGTCACTGCCAAGGGCAGGTGCACCCCCGACGAACGGAGGACGGGCAGGGTCAGAGACCAGAGCGAAAGCGTAGTCAAGGCGGCGGGTAGAGGCGAAGTCAGCGA